ATATAGTATAGTATATAGTAACCAAAAACTTTTATTTTGGATGCGATTAATTGTGATTAATCGTTTGACAGCACTAATAAAAACAAAAAGCAAGAACACGGTGAGCAGTGCTAACCCCACATCTAAATTATAAGCGTGAAAAGTTTCTTTATCCAGGGTTAAAAGCAGGTTTAGAACAACAATAACCAGGATTAAGCTTAATGTGAAAAGCCATGACAATTTTTTATATTTACATGCATTTTGATACTAAATTGTATGAAAAAAGTTGGTAACTGAATATCACTTGATGAATTAAACATGCATGTGGCATCAGCATAGCATGCTGTATTACTGAAATATTATATACTGTAAAAACAGTACATACTGTGTGCAGTATGCAATAAGCAGTAAGATATTGTGCAAATCATAAACTTTAAGGGTTAAAACAGCATTTTCAGTCTGGCATGGAAAGTGTCATATGGATCAGACCGACTGTGGAGAATCCTGAGCACATGAGCACAGCCCACGTCTGAGAAGCTGGCATCGCTGGTTCATGATGGATGGATTTGTGCCCTGAGCAGCAGACTGCCTTACAAGGAGAACTGGACCTGTTTGTACACAGGTACATCGATCCAACATTGTCAGTGTAAATTTATCTCAGTGATCTTGACGGTATTTTTCCACTGATATAAACTGTGCATGTGCCAGTCTCCATGTTAAGAACATGTCCAGGGGCCACATTCACAAAAAATAAAAAAATAAAAAATAAAAATCTGTAAGAAGTGCAATTCTTGAAAAAATAAAAATAAAAATAAATCTCTCAAATATTTTTATAAAAACATATAGATTTTTTTACTTAAGAAAACGACAAGCATTGGTGTTATCTGAAAAATTGCATATAATATTTTTGTCACTACTGGCTTCAACTGAGTTTAGCACTGAGTTTAGCATTATTTGATTTTTAAAATACTTTTTTTTTCTCAAAACTTTTAATTATTCTTAATTATTTTTAAATATCTTTGTTAAGAAGGGATAGTTCATCCAAAAATGAAAATTCTGTCATCATTTACTCACCCTGAAGTTTTTTTTGTTTTTTTTTTTGAATATTTTGAATAATGTTAATAACCAAACATATGACGGTAGCTATTAACTTCCACAGTATGCATGTTTGGTTTCCAACATTCTTTAAAATATATTCGTTTGTGTTTCATTTTTTTATGAACAATGGAAAGAAAAAGAACATTCTTGAAAAGTATTTTTAGGAATGCAAAAAAAATGTTCTGTGAATCCATCCCCAGGTCATATTTCACACTATTTCACATTTGCACATTATGCACAACACACACACACACACACACACACACACACAGACAGACAGACAGACAGATTTTTTTTAATCATTTGATATTTCATTCCAAAAATATAAAATGAAATCTATTTTATACATATGTGCATGTTGTGCAAATATGTTCATAAACATGCACAATATATGTTGGCACAGTGGCTGACAGGTTCAATGTAAATCTGTGCTCTCGCTCCGTTCCACTCCACAGTTTCTCACCCTGGTCAGTTTACATTGTTGCCATGACATTGACAAGACACCAAAGGATTCCTCTGTCTCTCTGAGCGCTTTAACATTTACACAGAGGAGCAGAGAGTGATGTTCACATAACACTCCTGCCCTTATTTTACCACTCGGCCCGGAGAGGTGCAGGACTTTACAGTGCACTGGAGGCCACACTGGAAAATGAAACAGCGTTTATGAGCTAATGACCTTATACCAGGAACCACCACACGCGTCCCAGGCCATTTACAAAGATCGAATGAAAACAGCCAAGACCAAATATTTGAGGTGACACTCTCACCTAGCAATACAATACTACAGTGTTTTTAAAAACGCCATGGCACATGATTATGATTATCATTCAGTACCACATAAAAGTACCATTACACTACAATTGCTGTACCAGTACAGTTTCTGTGATGCTTTGGAAGGAGAATATAAATGTTTCTGAATGAGCTTCAGGGTTGCCTCAAGAGTAGAACTGCAAATATAATAACACATATAAGCGAGAGTGAATTCGAGAAGAGCGACAGACTGCAGCTAAAAAAAGAAAAGAAGAGGAAAGTGGAACATGCTGCAACACACAGCCTACAAATTGCCCGTCACAAGTGACAAACGTCTTTCCAGTCCCACACAGCCAATCAGCAGCAATTACAGCAGAAGAGTTTCCCAGCGAGTGGAAAAAGATCAGAAACAAAACACAGAAAACATTTACTGTCATTTCCTTTGAGCGCCATGGAGGTATTTGACACATGCATAAAAATATATGGCGCTATCATATAGAATTCAGTCCAAATGACGTATTATTGAGGTTTTCACAATGATATGTCAACAGTTTCTATCATTTCTATTTCAAAAAATGCTGTTTTTTTGAAGTTTCTATTTTCTAATCCGGCAAAAGTATCAAGGTTTCTACAAAAATATTGGGCAGCACAACTGTTTTCAACATTGATAATAATCAGAAATGTTTCTTGAGCAGCAAATCAGTATATTAGAATGATTTCTGAAGATCATGTGACACTGAAGACTGGAGTAATGATGCTGAAAATTCAGCTTTCCATCACAGGAATAAATTACATTTTAACAGATATTCACATAGAAAACAGCTGTTTTAAATTGTAATAATATTTCACAATTTTACTGTTTTTCTGATAAATGCAGCCTTGGTGAGCAGAAGAGACTTATTTAAAAAAAACCTAATATAGAGATGCATGAAACAAAAACAATTTAATATGTACATACGCAAGATGAAGCAAATGATATTATAACATTTTAAATTTATTAATATTATTTATAATTTATTTATTTTTAAAAACAAAAGCACTGGACCATGACATCACATCCTGTTGCCTATATTCCTTCTAAAATATTTCTGTAATAATTTGGCATGCTTATTATCTAGTGTAACCACTCTTTAATCAGTTGAACCACATAACTCAATTTTTCACTCAACAACCCAGTCAATAACACAATCTTACACCAATCATAATTCAGTACGCAAATTAAAAAAATAACAAAGACCAACTGCTATTCAGTTTGACATCAACACAGTCATTTTCAATGGTGAACAATGTCAAAACAACAGTTTCAAACTTCAATCTTAATTTTCTTACAAAGTATAAACTTTACAAAACCCAAATACAGAAGCACTCTCAAGACTGAAAAGATCTAGACAATAAAGTTTAAATGGTCTGAATTAATGGCAGTTTAACACTGAGAAAAAGAGGTTGAAAACAAATCCACACCAGAATGTTTGCTGAGCACAAACACTGTGAATATCCACCATCTTCCTTTTTTTTTTTGTGCCAGCATTGTTAGCCGATAGCTTCAGGAGGGGAGACAAAGACCCTCAGACGCAGACAAAGCGGAAAAAGTTCGGCCGATGCCCTTGAGGCGTCACAGAAGAGGAAAGTGGTTGTTCTGGGGGTCTCTTGGCCCTAATGCACAGCATTGAGTTTCAGCTCTACTTGTTCCGTGATGCGGCGGTGCAGGTGCAGAACAGAGGGCTGAACTGTTAGCGGAGCTTCAAGACCAGGCCCAAGGCACAGATTCAACCTAAGCAAACCCTGACCTCCGTGTGATTCAGACTAACCCGAGTCGATATTTCACCAGCTTGAGGGGCGGCCACACTAGACACCTAGCTTTCATTCATACTCATGTGATCGCGGGTGAAACAGCAATATGAGTGAAACATACTGCTGACCCTAAACTGCAACTTCCCATTTAACTTTCTAAAGTGTCAAATTAAGTGAAAAATACAAGTCTAAAAACGCTTATAATAACTGAATCTGGTAACATGGTGGAGGCTGCGCCTGTGCCCTCACTGAAGCCTCATTCACTCCAGCAGCGATCATTTTCGCTGCTGGACACTACTAAACTGTGTTTAGTATTGTCAGTTTAGTCACACTAAACTGAATTATACATGCAGACACTCATATGAGGAATTTTAATCAGCAAATTAGTCATTTAGAAAACAAATTTTATTTTTGAACATGAAAAGTTAGTTGCTATGATGTTTCTATGCAGTTGCTAAGGTGATCTGGTTGGTTGTTACACAAAGGTTAAAGTGGTTTCTGAGCTGTTGCTAGGATGCTTTTTGTGTTTGTGATTTAGGTAGTTGCTAGGGCATTTCTATGCAGGATGCTCTAGATCTTTGTTACAGTGGATTGTTGTAGGTAGGTGCTAGAGTGTTTCTATGCAGTTGCTAACTTGCCACAGTGTTTTGGATGGTTGCTAAGATGTTCAAAGTGGTTTCTAGGCTGTTTCTATGATGCTCTTGGTGTTTGTTAGTATTTTAGGTAGTTGCCAGGGCGTTTGTATGCAGTTGCTAGGATGCTCTTGCCTCTTGGTCTTTGCTATAGTAGATCGTTGTAGGTAGTTGCTAGGGCATTTCTATGCAATTGTTCGGATGTTCTTGGTCTTTGTTACAGCAGATTGTTTTAGGTAGTTGCTTGGGCATTTCTATGCAGTTGCTAGGATGCTCTTGGTGTTTGTGTTTATGTGGTTGCTAGGGCGTTTCTATGCAATTGTTAGGATGCTCTTGGTCTTTGCTATAGCAGATTGTTTTAGGTAGTTGCTTGGGTGTTTCTATACAGTTGGCAGGATTTTCCTGGTTCCTAGAATGCTGTAGTTGCGGGGGTGTTTCTATGCAAAGTGGTTTCTAGGCTGTTGCTAAGATGTTCTTGGTATTTGCTGCAGCAGACTGTGGTAGTTGCTATGCAGTTGCTTTGGTGTTTTGGGTGGTTGCTATGATGTTAAGGGTGATATAGGTAGTTTCTATGCAGTTGCTAGGATGTTCTAGATCTTTGTCACAGTAGATTGTTGTAGGTAGTTGCTAGGGCGTTTCTATGCAGTTGCTAGGATGCTCTTGATGTTTGCGTTTTAGGTAGTTGCTAGGGCGTTTCTATTCACTCCCCCCACCACGGACCTAAGACTCAAACCCTCAACCTTCGGGTTACAAGTCTGACTCCCTAACCATTGGTGCACGACTGCCCCAATCTTGCTAGATAGTTGTAACATTTTTAAAGTTATTGCTACAGAATTGCTGATCAATTCCTAGGATGTTTCTAAACAGTTGTTAAGGAGTTCTGGAAGGTTGTTCTGGGGTATTACTAGGGTGTTGCTAGCTAGCTAAACAGACGTGGAATGTGGAAACAGAAGAAGATGATATATTTTAATATTAGAAATTAATTATTTAAAAAATACTACTTCAAAAATCATATATTCAAATCTAGTGTGACCGCCCATCGCATTACAGTCAACCAGTTGATAATGGTTGACTAGTTAGCTTTTAGAGTGATGGGTTGGTGAGAGCTGGTAAACTCTGGATGGGTTGGAGAACAAAACTGAACGGTACATACATTACAACACAGAATCGCAGATAAAACGCCATCTTTCACAAAGTGACATGGGTTCAGCTCCTCCCGTGTCTTGCAAAAAGAGAGTAGCACCACACTCAGAAGAATCATGGTAGAAACGAGTGTCTTTAAACCCTGATCTGGAAGCAGACGATCTCTTTGGAGCTTGATGTAGAGTAATATAATCCTTCAATCTGTCAAATCCTGCTCGGATCTTGTCAGGTATCTCTTCTTGTTTCAATGACGAAACGTGCATAAATCCAACAAAGCGTGCACCCAGCTGATATAAGAATGTGGTTAGTGCAATTTTTGAGTAGTTCGCCCTGGTCGTTGACTCTGATTCAGTAGTTTTTTCCTCTGAGATTGTAGTTTCTCCTTCCAGGTGGTGCATAACATCACGGGACGCGTCCCAGCGTTCATCAGTTGTCACCACGCCGTCCAGTTCGGCAGGGGACAACTGTACTGTCTTTGTCAATCCATCTCCAGCTCCATGAGTTTGTTGCGAGAGCGTGGAGTAGGTGTGGTGGTTTTACAGCAGCAGTGAGCACAGACCAGGCCCAGGACGAGAGAAACGACGCCTACAGTCACCGAAGCACAGACGCCGTACAGCAAAGGCAGCTTCATTGAGTCCCACACTGAAAGGGAACAAAAATATACACACTTACACAAAAAGTTTGTGTATATTCACAAAAGAATGATTAAAAAATTATGGTATAAACTGTTTTTTAAGGTTTTAACAGAATTAATATAAACAATTATACAAATACCTAATAAAGAAATAAAAATGTAAATGCATAAAGGCATAAATAAACACATTAAGTAAATGCATGAATAAGTAAATGCATAAATAATAAGTACTGCATTACTAAATAAATGTATATATAGTAAATGCATAAATACATGCATAAATAAATGCATAAACAAATGCATAAATAAATGCATTAAGTAAATTCACAAATATATAAATAATAAATTCACTAATAAAAAATATATATAATAAAGCATAAATAAATAAATAAATAAATAAATGAATAAAATAAATGAACAAATAAAGAAATGAATAATAAATAAATAAATATTTTGTATATTGATAGATAGGACATTTTCTGTGAAAAATTACTTAATTTTCAGTCTTCTATCTTATGACTTGGAAAAAGTCACATAGATTGAAATTACGACTTATGTTGTTTTTTGGTCTTTTTGGAGCTTGACAGATTCACTATGCATTACTGGTGTATGGAAGAGAACTCCTTGAACACTTTTTCTCCTATTTATCGTCTATGGAAAAAAGAAAATCATACAGGTTTTAAAAAAAGATTTCCTAAAAGATGACAACTACAAATTTTGCTAGACTATTCCTCTACCAAGCAAATGCACAAGATTTCTTAATATTACACATGCATGCTCCAGCACGCATTGAGAAGTTTTGGATGAACGCAATTTTGACGTGGGAACGAGTGTCAAATGCTGGCAGCCTCCCATTAACGTATAAAAGCTTGTGAAACTTGCATGACTTGGTTTGAGGGTTACATTAAGCAATTCTGTGCACTTCTTTATTACTCACATGCAAACTTCACATTAAGGAAGACTCTCTGTGAGGAGACCTCCGGCGCTTTGCTCCAGACCCCGGTGGCGGTCGAGTGGATCCAGGGTGTTGCGGTGCAGTAATAGTCACCCGCGTCGCTGTCCTGTGTGCTGTGGACGTTCAGGGCGAATTTTCTGGGTCCCAGGCGCTCCAGGCTGCAGTCGCTGCTGTCGTTGCGAGGAGCCTTGTGCACAACACCCCAGCGGTCCATACTGGCTAGCAGGGACGGGCTGTTTGAGCCCCTCAGACGACTCAGAAACCACTTCATCTCGTACGCTACATCATCTGATGGGGAAGAGATCACAAAATTATGATTAATATGCACTGCAAATAAAAGCAGTAAATCAAAAATAAATAAATGTATAAATCATGCATTTAATAAACTCCTTTAAAAAATGCATGAATACGTAATTTAATGCATAAATTTAAAAATGTTTAAATGTGTAAATAAATGCATAAATAATGCATTTAATGAACTCTAATAAATTCATAGATAAATAAATGAGTAAACAAATGTGTAAATAAAACAGAAATAAATGCATCAATAAAAGCGTAAGTAAATGCATAAATAAATGTATACATATGCATAAATGCGTAAAAAAATGCATGCATAAACCCATATATACTGTAAATATATAAATGTGTAAAGTGCATTAATAAATAAATGTGTAAATAAATGCATAAATAAACAAACGCATAAATAAAGCAAGTTTAACTTGCACTACTCTGTGTACAGGGAGTAGTGAACACTGCTTAGGGACCCTGTGACTTTAGTTATATTTTTCCCCTCTCAGTATAATACAATAACATTGTGTCATAAGAAGATATTAAGTTTCTAATCTACCTCCATGTGGAGCATAAAAAGCACAGAAAAATGACTCTAGATTCAAAAAAATATTACCAATGAGGACATATTTTTAGGACTGCAAATCTTCAAAAATCCCTTTCCTTTAAGATGCATTTATTTAAGGATCCTCTACCACTTTTTTTTTCTAGCATAGCTTATTATTATGAAGGTCGTGCCAAGATCTCATCAAATTGCAAATCTTTCAGCTCCATTTCTTGCAGAAGTCTTTTTCCCTCACTAACACACACTGGTTCAAAGAACTAAAGATCAATTAGAAGATGTGGCATGTCCTATAAAAATAACGCTTTCTGTTTCCCATCGCTGGAACGGCAATGGAATGCACATCTATGCGCAGAGAAAGAGTGAAAGAGACGACTATAAAGCCACGATGGTCCCAAACTAGCAATTAGACTGACTATACGACGGCCCACTGCTGTCAAACCCACGCGCTGACTCAAAGACCTCTCCCCATTACACAGACTGACACAGTGAATGTGGGGAAGAGGAGGAAGAAAAACCAACCAAAACATTGCAGGACATTAGCCTTGATGAAATTGTTATCGCTCTTTCATAGTTCAAGAAATCATGACGCATTCCTAAGAATGCTGTAAACCCTAAAACCAATGTAAAAATTATGATTTAAACTGATTTACAGCTAATATCATACATAAGTTTTAATAGAAGAATCAATGCAAATGCATTATTAGATAAATGCACAAATGCATGAAAAAACGCACAAATAAATAATTAAACTGGTTTAATTTTACATCGTTGCCATGACACATTGCCAAGAATGCTGTAAACCCTAAAAACACTGTAAAATTATGATTTAAACTGATTTACAGCTAATATCATACACAAGTTTTAATAGAAGAATTAATGCAAATGCAAATAAATAAACAAATAAATATAGATAAAATATAAATAATTAAAGAATTCCATGTATGCTTCTTTCAACAATCAACTTCTCAGCTATTTCTCCTAACATATTCCTTCAGAGAAATAATGAAAATCAGACATAACTTAGTCAATAATGGACAAAGTAAGAATACAGAGCTTATAAACTGAATGTGAGCACACTGAGGAGATGTATGTGACATTACTGGAGTCTTTTGTTCCGGAGAAACATCAGAGAAGCAGGAGACTCTCCATTTAATCTCAGTGCTGTATGAGAAACAGCGGCATTACTTCAGACCTCACTGGTGATTTTTCAATCCGGTGGGGAAGATATAAAGAGAACTAAAGTGCACTGACCTGGAGCGCAATAGATCTGAGTCATATTCGATATCCTGCTAATTACAGTTATTCTGTGGAGTCGTCAGAGGATTGTGGGTAATGTGGTTAATTATAAGCCCAGCGCTCATGTTTGACCAGAATGCTATTGTGCAAAAAGAAATCCTTGGACGCCAAACAGTCTCATTTATAGCGATGACCATTTTGCATGTTCAAGTGATTTTATTTTTTTGTGAAAATAATAAATCCGATCTCGCATCTAATCAGTGGACGATAATGGTAATGGTAAAACGGTAATGGCAGCGCTTTATCTTCATGACGTATCGAGTCGTTTGAGATAGCGAGACACTCTCAAGCAGAAATGCGAAGGCTCCATTATTCCTCCCACGATCGCCTCGATCCCGTGTCCATCCTGAGCTAATGTGTGTGGAGCTTGACTTACAGTAATGAGGAAGGGTCAGCGGCAGGAGCGGAGCAGGCCTCGTGAGATACGAGCTGACGGACACGCACACATCTGGCCCGAGGGACTTATGAATAGCGCAATGGCATTCAATTTAATGTGCTTAACCCCAATGATCAGCGCAAGGGTCACAGATTTTCGTAGATCCTTTAAACACACATGTCAGTCCTCCGAATGTAAAGGCCTATTCTAACTAATTTCCGCTGTGACACAATTTTGAAGTCAAGTCAAGTCTGCTTTATTGTCAATTCTTCCACATGTACAGCACATACACAGAGAATTGAAATTGCGTTACTCTCAGACCCTTGGTGCATACAGATAACACTAACAGTAGAACATAAATACAGATAGATACAGAAGTCAACGCGAAATTAAAATTTTCATTATTCAGTTTGTCTTCGTAATCTTTAGCAAATTAAATAACTGTGACCACCTCAGGATGTTTTTTTTTTTTTTTTCAGCTGAGGAGAAACAAAACTCACTGACAAATTAGAAAAATGTAATTTTTTGTAATGAAATAATATTATTATTAATAATAATAAATATATAATATTTAGAAATATATAAAAATGTATATATAAAATATATCAAAATATATCAAATAAATGTATAACAGCAAATTATATATGTATGTGTGTACTGAATTTCAGAATTAATTTTTATTATAAATTAAATTATATTATTTTATTATTATATATTACAATTTTTATTATAAAAGATTATATTAAAAATATTAAAAACAAAATATATTAATGTAAAATATTTAAACGAATATTTTAAATATAAATATTAGAAAATGTATGCAAATTTCATACATATTTTCAGTTATTTATATAGCGCTTTTTACAATGCAGATTGTGTCAAAGCAGCTTTACAGTATTAAAAAAGGGAAATAGTGTGTCGAAACAAACATATGTTTGTCTAAAGCATACAACATAAAATATATACAATTAAATGGAATTACACAACAAAAATATATAAATAAAAAAAAAAAAAAAAATGTAATATAAATGTATACGTTTTTAAATTTTTTTTATAATTTTTAAATTACATTTTGTTACTATAAAAATAATTACAATTTGAGAAAAAAAAACCCTACTGATTTTCATAATTTCACCTTCTTTTTTCTTAATACTTGAAGCCTGATCATCATGCCCTCCAGCATGATTTGAGATCTTCCAAAGAGCATCTCGAGCTTCAACAGAAGTACGAAAATCTGACCGACTGTAAAAGTGTCACATGACCAATAGAGAACTTTCCAAGTTTTGCATCTTATATTTTCAGTGTGCTGTCAGACATTTAAACCATATATCATGAAGATGTCTGGAGGAAGAACTAAAGGCACATCAAGGTGATACAGATGCAGAAGCTTGACTCAAACCTGCTCTTTTCTGGGACAACAGACATGCAGAGCCTTACATAAAAGACAAAAGATGGTTATGAAGCCGTGCAGCCGAGGGGAAGTGCATGCTGTTCATCCCCTGAGATTACAGTGTTACTGATGTGGCAAGACTTTGGCCTTAGGAGGAAATAAAGCAGCGGAGAATGAGATCTATTAGAGGAATGATAGATTACAACGAGTTAAAGCATCCTTACAGATAAAACAACACGTCTCCAGGAAAAGCTGACACAATCTGATCTAATACTGTAATACACACAAACTCACAACTAATCACATACAGAGTTAGAAACACGCGCATGGAAAAGAGATCTCATTCAGTCCTTATGAGTGTTGTTTTTGTTAACTAATAAAAAAAATGCTAATTGAAATAAAATAAAATACAAATTAAATGAAAAAAAATAATCTTGCAAGATTAAAAACTTGAGATAAAATGTCAGAATTGAAAGTGAAAGTGAGAAATTTTGGAAAATGTGAGATAATTGCTTGAAAGAATTGCTTGAAAAATGTCAGATTGCAAAGGAAAACAATTGCAAGGGAAAAAAGTCTGAATTATGAGATATAAATTCAGAATTGTTAGAAAAAAGTCAAAATTGTGAAATAAAAATGTCAGAATTACATGAAAAAGGTCAGAATTACAACATAAAAACTCTGAATAAAAACTAAGAATTCAAGGGAAAAAAAGTCAGAACTGCATGAAAAGTCATTGATTGTGAGATTATATTATAGTTTTTATTCTATGCAGAAATAAGCATTAATTGTTCCGTTTCTGGTTTATGCACAAAGAATGCATGTGATATTAATCAAAACTAGGTAACTTAAAATGGAGCTGGATATATTTTGAAAGGATCTTATGAAGAGACTTAAACTAAGACTCATAAATAAGAGGTTATGCAGAAGTATAAACACACCTGAGGCGAAGTGCTGAAATAAATGGCTTGTGTGTGTGTGCATGTTACCTTGTGCGGTTCTCAAACAGTTTTAACCAGACAACAAACTCTTTGAACTGCGTCTACATTATAAATGATAACACATGACGTCTTGATCTTGAGGCAGCGTAACATGTTGCTGCACGCTGAAAAACACACACAGCGTGACCCAGTTTCACATGACATCAGTTTATGAAGTCTTTTCCCAACATTAAACATTCATTTCCATGTTTGTGCTGCAATAAAGGCAAGCGCAGACACGTCTAACGTCCTCCTAAAGACTGGTTTATTGCCTCATTCTGACCAAC